TCGCTCATAAAGCTAAAGTCCGCTTGCTCTAGCAAAAAATGCCCACTGTGGAGTGTTTACTAGTCCTTCCCTTGATTGACTATTAGAGTAGTCATCTTAATCCTGAAAGCTGAGCAAGAGTCAACTTCTAACGACGTAAAAGTTTTAAAACATTCCTATCAATAGAACCTAATTTCTTTGATAGAGTTTTATGCACGAATGTTTAAAACATACACTCTTAGTTTTTATATTTTGTTTCAGATTTATCGTCTGTGATGAGTTTTACTCGCTTTCTGCCATCTCAAGTTCCATAAGCGAAAAACATGGACAAAAGTTATAAAATATGCCACAGTGGGCAACAACGTGGACATTTGGAGAAAAAGAAAAGTGAACTTATTTGAGATTTGAATATTATTAAGTATACATTAGCCAATCGCCAATTTAATAGTGAAAACATTTTGGATATAGCATTTAAGATCGTCGACAAAAGTACGTCGCGAAAAGTCAACCTTTTTAATCTTACTTTGACGAAAAATATTTCTTTTGCTCAGTTAAAGAACGTGTTAAGAAATGGCAGACACGTATTCTGACAGCCGAATCCTTGCGCTATCTATTGGTGAAAAACATTTTGCCTTCATCGTTTTTTCTTGGACAAAACAATAATTCTTTCTTCGCTAAGCATTTTCTTGAAAGACCTGTTCAGTAAATTAACGCTTCCACTTTTTTCCAAACTACGAAATTGAATGAAACTTTCAGAAAACATTCTTCTATATATGATATGTCTACCCAGTTAGCATAAAGTTGCATAAATCTAGTGATGGCCCGTAAAAGCGGTGTGAAATTTGCGTAATTCTTACGATATTGAATTTTGAAAAGTTCTAGAAATGGACCTTCAAGATCGTGAGAAAATCGTAAATCCAAAGAGCGTGATACCTTTTCGGACTGCTTTTGATTTAGGAATCTCATATAGGTAGAGTGAAACAAATTCAGCTGATGTGCGTGTATAGAAAGTTTAGTGTAGGAAAAGAGTTCTGAGACAAAAATACTCGTGGCTCTCTGTTAACGAGAGGAAACGCTCATAATTATTTTTGTGAAAGTCTGATAAATTTAACCGATTCTCGAATCTATTCGAGACAATTTTAGGTGTTTGGAGTTCGAAGTACAGCACATGTATTCAAAATATAGCTCTACAATCTGAGAATAAGTAAAAGGTATTAATAAACAATATTCGAACAGCAATTTAACCATTATCACATAAAGAGAACAGTCCAATGTTATTTAAGCCCGGACTTTTTTAACAATGCAGAATAACGGAAAAACAAGTGAACCAAAAGAAAATATTCCGCCGAAAACAATAAGAACAACAATGTTTTTTGGTACACCGTAGTTATTTCGTCGTATTGCTAATGTATTATTTGTATCATTCCGAAGAGAAAAATGAGATATATTAGGTTGTATCTTTGTGCATGAGGAAATAAATAAAATTAAACTGTTGGTAAAATTGTTAAACGTTGAATAATAAATAGATAGAAGACGAAAACTACAAGGAGTAAGACTAGCGTCATTTTGTCTTTGAACTAAACTGATACAATGATCCATTCTTTGTTGTGAGTAGACGAGCGATAAGAATGACGAATTACATAATGTTGATAAAGACGATATCATTGATGAAATATTTATTGATTCTATAGATGATTTAAAAAATAAATGCTTCTTCAATGTTGAAATGAAAACGAATCAATTCTTTTTCATATGGAGTAACATTATACATAAAATAATGTGTGATCGTTGCAACTGGTGGACACTGCTCAATGTGACTACATTCATCAATTGGAATCGAATGGCAACAAGTAAAAAAAGAGTCGTGGTAGAATAATAATATATTACATAAACGTGAATCACCCATAATCAACGAGAAACTCAGTAAGAACACAATAATTCTCTTCATGGTGGTACAACCTGAAATATAAAAGACACAAAAGGAATAAAATCATATGTTTCATACGTTTTACAATGCGAAGAGAGCACGCCTAGAAAGAGAAAAATCAGCAATTGTTGGTCGTGCATAGGATTTTCGTTAGAAAGAAAGGAACAGATTAGAATAAAAATAGTAAATGAAAAACGTCTAGCAAATATGCATTTTGAAATCTTCCTAATTTTGGGTGACTTCTAATTTTTAGTAGTAGTTTTGGTTTTCAACTAGTGTTCGAGAGTAATCGTAGAAACCAATAAACGCATATAAGGATTTTCCTTTTATTAAACATTATAAAATCCGTCAGCTATTCCAGATGTGCCAATTATGAAGTTTCAGAACTTGTAGCTAACTATTTTTGTAGCACTACATTTTTCGTTCTAACGTTTAACGTTAGAGCGAAAAATTCCTTGTCTACTATAAAAGGAATGTTCATCTAGGACTGTAAGAATCGATCAGAAATACCGCATTTTTAGCAAAGATCCGATGAAAGATTTTAACATTTCTTTCAGGTTCGGATCCCCGAGTCTACTGCATGAGTGTGTGCGGATGGGACATATGCATCTTGTAGTTATCCTGTGCATACTTAAAAAAAGTTCCTGGGCGGCCCAGAAAAATCCCTAAACTTGGCCAGTTTGTAGAGAACATCTTTGACGGTAGGTCTATGCGATAAAACAAAATTTGTTCAAGTATTGACAGAGTTATTAATTAGTTAAGTTTGAATTTGAATAAAATTTCTATTGCTGGTCGCCGTTTTGAAGAGCTTGTAGTTTGGTAAAAAATACCCGCAGAAATGTCATTCTTTTGGAGTATGAGAGCCGATGGTCTATGACTTTGATTTCATAAAAGGAAATTTTAAATTTGTTTTCTTAAGCTGTTATATTAAAATTAATAAGTGTTAATTAATGCTGATTAATATCACTCTACTACCTTACACTTTATAGCTCTGACCGGTAAAAGCTAGAGGATTACAGCTTCCAACATTCGATGGCCAAGACCTGACCGCATCTTTTAGTGAGAATTTTCTCAAAAATCTGTTTTCAGGAGATCTCGGGAAAACCTGCGTTTTTGATTTTTCCCGAAAACAAACATTGCTGCAAGATTCAGCGTGATCGACTACGTATGCTTCTTCCAATTTCTACGTCTAGTCACCGAGTAGCAATCCAGGGAATTCAAGGAAATTGTATACCACGACTGAACCACTAAAAATCCAGGTCTCGCTTGGCACTCGTTTTGCGAAAGACAGTTTGAGATCCACGTAAATAAAGTAATTTATTTATACTGTAAGTTTCGCACTCATGGCTCAGTTTTCCATAGATCTTCTGGAAAACGGGTTCAAAAAATTTCTTTTTTCGAAAAGATGCAGTAAAGTCTTGACCATCGAACGTTGGAAACTGTAATCCTCTAGCTCTTATCAGTCGAAGTTATAAAGTGTAAAGCAGTAGAGTGATATTAATTAGCATTAATTAACACTTATTAATTTCAATCTAACAGCATAAGAAAACAAATTTAAAATTTTCTTTTATGAAACCAAAGTCATAGACCATCGGCGCTCATACTCCGAACTTCGAAGCGGTTGATATCAGTAATATATACAAAAACTGGAGAATCAAAATGAGTTTTGTTATAGGTGAAACGTCTCAGTTTGAAAACAGAACAGGCACAAGCGCATTGAATATATCTACTCTCACATTCCTTTTTTCTTCGTCTCTAGTTATATTTATTAAATTTTTCTAACTTTATCATTTATTAATATTATGAGCTTGATTTAAGTACACTATTTCAAACACAGAAGTAAGTTAATTTTACATGGGCACTTTAACTGTCGTTGCAGGATAGACGCTGCAGTCGGGTCTCAGAAGTGGCTAACAATTTATGGTAGGTAGAAGCATTAACAATAGAAAGATTCTTTGTCTCAGCTTTTCTATCAGTGTTTAATCCCGAAACTAGAAAATGTTTTGGTTTTGCATCTTGACACTGATATTTTTTTAGAACTTTTCTTCCTGGAACATAGTATGTTCAATATTCAGTTTTGTGGCCCTTAAAAAAAAAAAAAAAAAAAATATAAAAAACCCAACACCAAAAAAATTTTTTANACAATTAAAAACTGGAGTCAAGACCAACAGGAACACTTTTTGTCTGCAACAGTTGCAGACAGGAGAGATTTTTTCCGTTTTAAACTCTTGATCGCGAGCAGCCTACTTAGTTTGTACTAAGGTTAAGGTCAAAATTTACCATATTTTCGTCCCTGAACTCAACTTTGAAAAAGTTTTTCTTCATGGGGAAAACTTGGAAATTAGGCAGAAAGATGATATTTTTGGTTTTTCACCGTGAAACAAAAGTTTTCCAAAGTTGAGTTTTGAGACATAAATATGGCAAATTTAAATTCCTAAATTTTATCTGCTGAGCTCAACTTTGTACAAATAGATCTTCACGGTTGAAAACGATATTTACCGTTTTATACCAGAAAGAACGATTCCTGAGAATCTGGTCCCAACACATAGAATTTAGAAAATTAAATTCACTACATTTTATGTTGCAGATTTAACTCTCAAAAATACTTTTTTCAAAGGGAAAACACAAATCTCTAAAATATGTTCTGAATGATTTCATCACTCATCAACTACTACATGTGTGCCTGGTAGCTTATTAGTTGGTTAAAATGCCGCGTACTTCTAATCTCAATTCTGCGTGCGCTGGTCAGTGAGTTCGATTCTCGTTAGGCACATATTTTTTTTTCATATTTTTTAAGCTAGGTTAGAGCACTCGGTTAACCTGGCGCTCCAACCGTCAGTTAACCTAGTTGATCACCTCTCTCTAATCAAATATTTTTCGTCTTCGGATCTAGCTTAACCGATCGGTTAACTGGGCAGTTAACTTAGATGTCAACCTCCCGCTCCTACTCGATTATGATAACCTACTGGTCGGTTCACGACTAGGTTGGAGCTACTAACTAGGTAAAAAGGTACATTTACCTAGATCCATCAAGTGAATAAACGCGCGGTTATGTATCGGATGGAGCTAGATTCTCTCCGTGGAGAATTTTTGCTTAGGTAATACAGTAAATATCTTCTGCCACGGATATCATCCAAGTACTATCATGCATATTTCGTAAGAACGGTGGTTTCATAGACGATTCAATAAATAAACTTTTTTTCTTCTCTTCTTCATGAGCAAACATATTGTGTAAACATGGATGTTCGATTGTACGTACTATGACTGGTAATACATGACACAACGTGATTTTTCCAAAGAAACAATTTTTAATATTGTTATCATCCTGATACCAGGCTAACGATGTGTTTCTTTTATAATCAATTCTAATAAATCGAGGTAAATTATGTATTTCAAATGACATATTCTTCGCGGGCGTTGGCGTACCGAATATTTCATAGATCGGCATATATGGTTTTGAATGAATAGTGAAGATAACATTCGATATTATAAAATTACCGAGATGAAAAACAGTTAACAGCGTGTTTTGTAATATTTCTGTTGTTTCCGTTGGTATTATTATCGGTATTAGGAACAAAATAAAATGTTTGATATGCAAGTAGACGATTCATTATTGTCATCATTGGCATATCAAATAATAATAATAGTTTTATTGATTGTTTGAAAACTGCATTGGCAAATTGACGTAATTCATCATGTGTTAAATAATCAAGATTTTTTTCCATTTGAAACATCATCTAGTGATCGACGAATATTATCGTAGTGAATTTCGTTTTCGATAGAAGAAATATAGTCTTGAATTACAGCACGTAATGCTTTTTTCTAATGTTTTCATACGATTATACATCAATATTAATCTGCTTTGAATAAGCGACATGGGGATGTGTTTCATTTAATTCTTTGACAACAGCCATTTCCGTCCCTGTCAATGATATAATGCTGGTAACAGTTGATTGTAAAATTTTATCATTCGATTGAATGTGATTTATTATTTGTTGTTCTGTATCTTTAATATTGGCAGTTTGTATAGAATTATATACTGATGACCCCATTGCCAACATACTGGTCCCTACACCAGATTCGGTTAGCTGACGTTTTTTTCTTGGCGAAGCATTATCAACTTCATCCATAAATCTTTCACTAAACAGTTTGCTTGATGTATTCATGAATGAACGTAACACTTTGTTTATATTGATTTCATTTTGTTTCATAATACGATTATTTGTGGTATCGGTACATATATCAAACATGATAAAATATCTAGGAGGAAACAAAAAACATCCAAAGTTGAAAATAGGGAGATTAACAGCAATTTCGGTCGTTTCAGACATAAAGGCATTAGTTGTCCAACTTTCTCAGCTGATACCTTACTTCTTTCGTCGATGATCAGGGTATCATTTTCCGGCATTTCCCATTGTGTTGTTGTTCGTATAAACGTTATAAATAATAGACAGTAAATCATGTTCTAGAAGGAAATAAAAATAAATTTATTTTTCTTCCCTGTGAGCAGTACTGAGAAAATACAACTGACAGATCGACTATGCTTGTGCGAGTAGTGCCAGAATTAGTCAAAATTTTTATAACAGATAGAGGCACTAATACGGGACTGATTTCTTCGCATCAACTTCGCATCCGATCGAGCCTGCCGAGAAAATCAACATGAAAGTCAGTAAATATAGAAAAACATCCTGTAGAACGATCTGAGGCATTTGAACTTTTTGCTGTATCACGCTCTATATGTGTAAGGTGTCCGTAATTGAAACCTTAAGCATTTATTTTTTGCGATATTTAAACATGTTGGAGAGAGCTCGTCGAGCTGAACAAGAATATGTAGGCTTTAACCTTTCGAATCAAAATTTTGATATCGACAATTTTAAAAAACTAAAAGTTTTATAATTATGAAAAACGGCTTATTTTTTAAAAACGAACGTAAAAGTCGAACACAGTGTATCTGGGAATTTGCAAAACTCAGCTGAAATGTCCCAAATAGTTTGTTTACAACTCCTGGACCTTATCCTCGCACGTTATATTTTCTCTTTCCTTTACTTTTATCGTCATACTCTACATGTATAGGTCACGACGGACGAAAGAACAGAAACGATAAACATGATGCTTCTTACGTATTACGGCCCATCACTAAATAAATTTTTCCGTCCGGAGTTCGAGTTTTTTATCTAAGTTTTTCTATCTTTCCCACTTAGAAGCATCAGAGACATCTGAAAACCACTTTTTGTAGTTTTCGACTATGGCGAGTAAGTTAAAAATATAAAAACTGGATCTGTAGAAAATCCTTGGAAAACGTTTTTTTGAAATATTTTTCTGTCACCACCGAAAAGAACATATCCAATAGCCTATAAAAAGAACGTTTGCCGATCCTAATCCCTCTTCCAAAAAGAATGTCCATCCGCCTATTCGAAATTGTTCACTGTGTAGACTAATGTTTCACCCATAATCAACAGTAATCATTAATTGTCCAAACCGAGTATGCTCTCGTTTTTGTAAATTTCTTTGAGTTTGATGAAGCAATTACGGTTCTTTTTTGTCGTGAACTTGCTTTACTAACTGGTCGGTTATTGCTCACAGAAAGTGAGGAACACAAAAGTCAGCTTAAGAATATCGCAGACAATACTATAGACAGTATCATCAAAGATCTCCAAGACTTGTGTCTTTAAAAGCATTTAAACATTAAGAACGTAAATATGATTCGCCATTTTTTTACATAGACGTATTTGGAATGTTTAATCAGAAACACTTAATTACAATACAGCTCAAGTGTAAGAGAACTGATCGGCGAGGAATGCTAACATATGTTTGACAAGGTGAACCAGACTTCCATTTTTTTCAACTGTGAATTTAAATATCATGTTTGATTTTAGATAATATTTATTGTATTAATTATAAATCATAGGTTTATTGCATTAATGGCTAATAAACATACTCCAATGTACTCCAATCTACTCCTATGTGCTGGAATACAAGAATATTCTGGAACAAATATCAGGCGTTATTCTCTCATTAAAAGAGTTGTTTGTTGTTTGTGATAAGCCGTGGGCAAACTTACCCGAGTCCATACGTACTCCATTTTGTACACGATCGAAACTATGGATGGCACATTACAAAAGACAAATACGATTGATTTCAGATGAGAACATCATCCGACATAGATGTTGAATGAGTTATCATAAATCTTTTGTGCTTTACCAATCTTTCTTTACAATTCTTTTATAGTATCTAGTGTGAGTTTATTAAACGCTTTCTAGTGTAATTTTTTAAATTTATTATCCTTAGAACTTTAAGATGGTTATAATTGGAGGATGGTCAAATTAAGGAAGAAATTGGTTATAAATATCAATTCCAAATTTATCACATTGCTTAGAATAGTACAAGAATAACTGAAAGGAAACAACGTAACAGAATCGTGGATTAATGGATACAATGAATAAAACTGCATAGTCATTACGAGAGATTTTACGAGTCACTTAACCACCACATGGTACTGATGAGAAATAAATATGTCTGAAAATATTTTTATTAGATTCTACATGCAAAACTGTGATTATGAGTTAAAGGAAATGTTGCGGTTCAGATAAAAAAATGCAGCACAGAAGACGCCAATTTCACAGCTTTTGCTGTTTTGAATTTGTAACTTATGAGGTGTTTTCGATTTTTTGAGACATGCACATAACATTCTTTAATTTTCTGCGTAGTTGGCAAACATTACTGAAATGATTTTAACATCTATGAACGATTCCTCCGATGAGTGCTTTTTTGTATGACGCATCATGCTAACAACTTCACTAATTAGCTTTCTGATTCCTAAATCGACAATCGACTCATTCATTTGCGATAAACATCTCCAGACATTAAATCGACGTGACAGATATTAAAATGTAAATTTCTACATTTTTACCAAAATATTTTTGGTACGAGTGTCAAATTGCGTATCAAATATTCGTACAGGATCAAGACATGCGTTCGATTCTTGTTTCAAGCTCTTAGGTTACAGCAATAAACTGAAAATATTTTCTATTCAACTAATGTTGAATAAAATACCAGTGTATTACACAATCTGTTGATGACCTTTATTTTAATATTATTATGTCTTCTTCGTTGTACTCGTCGTCGACCCCTGCTATGATCAAACCCATGAACAGTAACTAAAGCACTCTAATTCGCTGTACCTGTTACTTTATTGCGTTTTATTCTCAAGTGGCGACTGATCACATCCGATTTGAACAGGTATTGTGCGCATTGATCAAATAGTAACATGACCATGTGCTTGCTAAAAAAACGGATTATTTTCCAACGTAAGCTAGTGCTTGCTAATTCGAAAAAATATTTTATTCAGTCTAAACAA